GGATGTCCAGTTTCTGTTGCAGTGGTGAGTCGGATACAGACACGTCAGCATTATCTCTTTCCGAAAACGTAAGGTCCAAACCAAACTCAGATAATACACACGAATCAGTAGTTCTTGTCACAGTGTCTCACTCATCGGCCATTGCTAGCCACTGAAATCCTCAAGTTATGAACCACACCAAAAACAAAACAAAAACGTAGATAATAAATCATACAAAACCGACCGTTGGATCTTCTTGTCGATTTCAAACCACAAAAATCTTACTGACTGAGCTTAAAAACTGAAAAGATTAAAGCCAAAGCACTCTGTTTCCAAATTCTCACCACATAAACAGTTATTTTCTCGTTGTTGAAGTTCTCTCTTTTCTCTGCCATGGCGAAACCGGTAGCTATTGAAGTGTATAACCCGAATGGGAAATACAGAGTCGTCAGTACAAAACCGATGCCGGGGACTCGCTGGATCAACCTCTTGATCGACCAAGGTTGTCGCGTCGAGGTACTTCTTTCTCGTTCTCCTGGAAACAAGAAACTAAAATTTGGTTACTTTACACTAAAGTTTCTCTCTTTTCTTGAATGATAAAAGATATGCCATTTGAAGAAGACGATCTTGTCCGTAGAAGACATCGTTGATCTTATCGGAGACAAGTGTGATGGAGTCATCGGTCAGGTAATAATGACACGAAAGAGAGAAAGAAAGTCTATTTTGATACCATATGATATGATATGAAAGAGTAAAAATCAGTTTAAGTTTTGTTATAGTTAACGGAAGATTGGGGAGAGACTCTGTTTTCAGCTCTAAGCAAAGCTGGAGGTAAAGCTTTCAGTAACATGGCCGTTGGTTACAACAACGTTGATGTCGAAGCTGCCAATAAGTATAATATTGCCGTTGGTAACACTCCGGTAATAATATTCGTCTTCTTTGTTTTTCGGTTTTACTGCAATTAGTTAAAAGGCTAAGAGTTTATGTTCATAATTGTTTAGGGAGTGTTGACTGAGACAACGGCCGAACTAGCTGCTTCTCTTTCCCTTGCTGCCGCGAGAAGAATTGTCGAAGCCGACGGTTTCATGAGAGCTGGCTTGTACGAGGGATGGCTTCCTCATCTGTATGATCACTCAACTTTTCCTTCTGACCGATTCAAGAAGCCGGTTTATAGTCATTGGAAAGGCTAATATGATTGTTTGGTTTTGGGAAGGTTTGTGGGGAACTTGCTTAAAGGACAGACTGTGGGAGTTATTGGGGCTGGACGTATTGGATCTGCTTATGCTAGAATGATGGTAAGCGTCTTTTATGGTCCACAGTATTATATACACAAGAAGCTTCCTGTTTTTGACTTCTTGATTTCAAAACAGGTCGAAGGGTTCAAGATGAATTTGATCTACTATGATCTTTACCAATCCACTCGTCTTGAGAAATTTGTGACAGGTTTGATTCTCTTTTAGTCTTGATGTTGAGAAGTTTATATAATTGAGATAATGGTCATTGGCAGCTTATGGACAATTCTTGAAAGCAAATGGGGAACAACCTGTGACATGGAAACGAGCTTCGTCTATGGAGGAGGTTCTGCGAGAGGCCGACCTGGTAACTGAACCTTTTTTTTTTGGCTAGCATTTGTAGTGTATGTCTTAGCTAGAGACTGAACTGGTCGTTGTCTGAAACAGATAAGTCTTCACCCTGTGTTGGACAAAACCACTTACCATCTTGTCAACAAGGAGAGGCTTGCCATTATGAAGAAGGTGAATCTCGATTTTCGTTATTTTCATTCGATCTATCTCTCATTACTGATCTTGGTTCTGATTGAATTTAATTGCTTTCAGGAAGCAATCCTTGTGAACTGTAGTAGAGGTCCCGTGATCGATGAGGCAGCTCTTGTCGATCATCTCAGAGAGAACCCGATGTTCCGAGTTGGTCTTGATGTGTTTGAGGAAGAGCCTTTCATGAAACCAGGGCTTGCTGATATGAAGAACGCCGTTGTTGTTCCCCACATTGCTTCTGCTTCCAAGGTTGCCAACTGAAACGCTTCTTGTGTTTGTTGTGTCTCAATAAATTAAACAGAAGTGACTTACTTTTGTTCTGATGATGATGACAGTGGACTCGTGAAGGAATGGCTACGCTTGCAGCTCTCAACGTCCTCGTATGCATTCCCAATCCAATAACCTCTTTTTATTAGATTCAGGTTCTAATCATCTTCTTGTGAAAATGTTTTAACAGGGAAGGATCAAAGGGTACCCGATTTGGAATGACCCGAACCGGGTCGACCCATTTTTGAACGAAAATGCTTCACCACCCGCTGCAAGCCCAAGCATCGTCAACTCAAAAGCCTTAGGTACTGCACTCACACTAAGCTTTGATTGTTTCAAACGTTAGTTTTTGTGTTTGAAAAACATTTCAGTTTCTAACAAAATATTCCGCTTGCATTTGCAATCAATAGCACAAACCATGACTAACCAAATTATACTTGTATGTATTCTTTGGGGTTTCCAGGATTGCCGGTTTCGAAGCTATGAGTTGAGTATGAAGAACCGGAGATTTGGAAGAATCCTTTTTTCGTAAATATGTGATGCTTGTCGACTTGTGTTTATGCATGTATTGTTATAACTATGTTGGATCCACAAAATCACTCTTTCATGTGTTGTTTGGTGTTAACTTTCCAGTGTCTTTTACCTATTTCTCTATCCCATAAAGTTGCTAAAGGTGTATTTTCTGATACTTCTAGTGAAGCATTTCGTTTCTAATTTGCGAATTTTTAGTCATGTATTGAGCAAACATGAGTTTTCCGATTGATGCAAAAGCAAGGCGTGAATCGTCCATCTGTTGGATAATTCTCTTTATTAGCTCAAATTCTGATCTCAAGAGTGAAGAAGGTTCCAACATACGCTACACACGTCTCCTTTTGCATTTGGCGTTTACATACAATCAAAATTTATTTGGTAACTATAAAGTAAACGCCAAACACAAACGAGAATTGTATTATGTAAGCAAAATATAAAAGAGCCACTGAAAATTTCGAGCTGCATTTATTAGAGAAGATACAAGTGACCTCTAAACATTTTATATGGTTCTTCGCTTTTGGGCTAAGCCAGCAATAGTTGTTAATCGAGTCATCTTAAAGCAACTCTAACATACTGATCATAGCTTCCAACAGCACAAGATTCAGAGGTTACCGTCCATAGTAAGAAGCACCTTATACAAATCAGGACGACGGTCACGGAAAACTCCCCAGCTTTGCCTTTTGGACTTGATCTTCTCAAGATCAAAATTTGCCACAAGGACGGCTTCTGCTTTATCATCAGCCTCAGCCACAATTTCACCTGTTGGTCCTATCATATCCCAAAAAAAACAATAGTGGCAAAAACTGTTGGGCCACATTCTTAACTAAATATTGGTCTGATGAACAAATTCGCATCTATTATTAAGTTATACCGGCAATGAAGGAATTTCCATAGAAAGTGATCTGACTAGGCCCATGCTCAGTTTCAATTATTTCCTTCCCTATGCGATTTGAAGCCACTAGAGGCACCTGAAACACCAAACCATTACAGAAAAACTGGTTATTCACTGGGAAAAGAAAATGACTAACTAGGTACGTCTAATTTACTGCATATGTAACTGTAAAATCACTTACAGTCATAAGTTATACACAAAGCAATCAGGAAACTTTGAAAATGGAAGTGTTAAGACCTAATAGCTTACCACATTAGCTCCAGCATGCCCTTGCATGACTCTCTTCCAATGATCACGCGAATCCAATCCCTGGTCTTGAGGTTCAGATCCAATAGCGGTGGGATAAAACAACACTTCAGCACCCTGTAGAACCATAGCTCGAGCTGCCTCAGGAAACCACTGATCCCAACATATAGCTGAAAAAGATGTTGCACGGTTCTGATGAAGTGACGAAGAAAAAGATATATAAAAGAAATAGCATTGTGCATAGAGCATCTTACCTACTCCTATTTTTGCAAACTTCGTATGGAAGACCTATTCAAACCAAGGGGGCAGAAAACAATTATGTGAAGCAAATAACATGACAGATGATAAAAATGTTTCAATTTGCGTTTTTTTTCTTGTCAAAACTACCTTAAAGCCAGTGTCTCCAGGATTGAAATAAAACTTCTCTTGATAACCTGAAGTTAAGAAAACGGTATCGGTAAAAAAAGGTTGAACAAACTCGAGCAATTTCCAACTCCAAAAAACTTAACTCACCTGGTCCATCAGGAATATGTGACTTCCTATAAATTCCAAGGTCGGTTCCATCAGCATCGATTATGGCTATTGAGTTGTAATGTGCATTATTTGCTTCCTCAAAGAAGCTAACCGGTATCACAACACCCAGCTCCTTTGCCAACATCTGCATCCTGTGTAGCAACTACTGATATCAACTAATAGTAGTAGAGAGACATGTCGAAATGCAACTTTACACAAGTTAGTTAGACATGAAAAAGTGCATCGATGAAGAAGAAATGTCAACCTTGCAATGGTAGGATGGTTCTTGTAAGGCTTGGCCCGCTGAAAAAAGTCCTCTCTTTGTGCTTGACAGAAGTAATATCCCTCAAATAGTTCCTGTATTGATAATTCACGGATTTACGAAACGAAAAACCTCCGTTTACTAGAGAGCATCACTCACATCATATCCAAAGTGAAGCCAAGGCACAAAAGGGCTTCTAAACTAGATAACACTAGAGCATAGTAATGGTTGGGATAACAATGTATGTTTAATCGTGTGAGAGAGAGACTAATCAAGTCTTAATCAAAGCATATCTTAGAAAATTGTGGAATAACCTGAATAAGAACGATATTTGCTCCTTTTGCGTGTGCTTCCCTGACCAGCCTGCATATATACGTAAACAGTTCCCTTGTCAGAAACCGATTGCAACAAAACTGTAAAATACTGGAGCAGCCTGCGTACATACATGAAAGAGCAGACTAAAAACATAAGGAATGAACAAGGATCGAAGAAGACAAGGAGAGAGGTACCGCTCAGCGGCGGCGACGTTGGTGGAGATATCGTCGGAGCAGGCGAATTGTAGAGCTGAAACAACCACTTGACGCTCTTTACCTTCCATTTCCGTCACACTCTCTCTCTCTGCTGAAAATTGACGAAGAGGCGAAAAAGAAGAGAATATAACAACTGAAATCGAATAAAGGGCCAAATTCGATTTGCCTTTTTTTTCTTATCATCAAATTTTCTGAGCCCATAAACTTGATACGACAGCGAATCATCCTCTTGTACACAACATTTTGCTCAACTTGGCACAC